GGGTGTAGGTGATAGAGGAAGAGGGAGACGGGTAAAGAGCAAACCAGTGGAACAGAAAGAGAGGGAGAGAGAAAGAGAGCGAAGAGAGACAGAGAGTTGGAAATGGAAATGGAGAGCGAAGGGGAAAGAGAGAATGAGAGAGCACGGTCTCACCGTGACAGGATAGCAGCCATGTGCCGGTACGCACGTTGAATCTGCTAAACGTTCCCGCTCGTGCGTGAAATGCCTCGATATCACTGTTTTATTTCGGTTCGTTCGTTCCGCGCCGCACTCTCGCTTTTGAAATTCTATCCTTTTTACCCTCGGCCCGTCCCCGACCCGGTCACACGCGCAACCCTTCCCCGATCACGTTGCCGTACCCGTTCGTGCGGATTTGATGACCCTTCCTGTTCGATTTCATGATAATTTAATTATTCGCGATTAATTAAAACCCAGTTGATCCATTGATGCATGTGTTCCCGTTTAATGGATCTTCCCTATTGGAGCAACAAATGCCTAACATTGTGAACGATAGTGTCACATAGAAGTTAGAAAGAAAATGTCTAAATAACAGGTTTTACTGTCTCTGTAAATCAACGTTCTATAGACGCAGAGCTAACAGTGGAAATATTTAAATTGTCTATTCTGAATCATGAATCAGGATTATCAAATTAGAGTGTTGATATAACTGAATTTCTCTTGTGCAATTACAAAGTGGAACATCTATATTGATTGACTTATACGACAAATTGAATCTCTACATAGGTTTTCAAATATATTTCTGGAACAATTGGTTCAATCTGCATCCCGTGCAATTCGTCAGACCTTTATTTGATACACGGTCGAAGATACTTTACAGGACCCCGTGTCGTGACATCGGCACGGTCCGAGAGCTTCTCGATAAATCGATAAATCGCGAAGTGGTCCGTTAGGTCAATTTAATTAATAATTATCGACTGAAAGAGGAGCACCTTGCACAATGGCGATACTTCCTCCTGGCGTAATCCTTGGAAGATTAACGAGCCCGTAGCAGGAGGGACTTTCCTTTCCCTCTTCTTCCCTCCCTTTACCGGCTCCACTCGTCATCCTTTATCTCTCGTTCTCTGTTGCCCTCGTCCATTTTCTCTTCTACGTTCTCCAGTCCTCTCGATCCTGGTCCCTATCTCTCTTACAGCCGCAAGACGCCATAGCGCGCCTTGCGGTGGTTGCGGCAAGAACCCTCGCCGTACCCGCATTAACGCAATTATGAATTTGTCGCGTTGGGATCTGACAATACAAGATGTCGCTACCACTCCACTGCCGCTCTCCCCCAACCGCCACCCGGGCACCCTCCGACACCCTGAACCCGCCACTCCACATTTACGCTAAAACCGATTCTGGTCTTTGCGGGTGGAAAGAACTGACGACACCGATAACTCCCATAAGTTCTGTTAAAATTAAACTTTCACTGTCACTACGGTATTTTAAACGAAAATGCGTGGAATTAGTTTTTAACTTTTTTAACCTTTCTCTTAATGTTTAGCTATACGCGTTTCACTTCGTTGCTTAATTTTCTAATAACTTCATAATGTGATTGATGACCGCGTATTCACAGTTTAACTCGTTATTAAATTTGTTGTCATTGAAAAATGAAAGTAATTTATATCAACAGTAAAGACTGTAATTCTTCTGTGATTATATCGACCGTTATATCAGCTACAGAACTACACCAACGACAAAATGATTAAATCTCTTTATCACTATCAAAATAATTCAGCCCATCTCTTTGAGAATCACTAATCCACCTCAAAAAAAAGCCTTCCAATTTCCCACACAAAATAAAGCCATGTCCTAGGAATCCGCGGAACAAACCAGCATCATCCCGACAGCATCCGCGACGGTGTCGTGAAATTGATTCTCGGCTCTCCCTGTCACGTAATAGGTCGGATCCGCGGGTCACGAAACACAACTATTTTCGCCGAGGAATCGATAGCGGATGTGCATCGCGTGCCTCCTTGTTAACCGCGCGCGAGCCGTTTCGTGGCGAGGAAAGCGGGCGGAGTTTCGGCCGAGCCGAGTTAGTTTCGAAGGGTTTCGAACGATAGCGCTGCGCCGGGGTGGTGGCGGCAGCGGTCCCCCTTGTAGCGTGCGGTAGCGTACAATGGCTAGAACGACGGCGGATCGTTGCGGCTCGCCGCAGGCGACTGCTGCGACCGGTTTCTCGCGACAAATTTCTCCTAGTTCGAGCGTTTCGCTCTGCTAACCCTCTTCCGTTTCCCTCGTCGCAGCACAAACTCCGTTATCATGGGCTACGGCAGTATTGCAGCCAACCCCCGCGCACCGCGAGAAAATCAATCGACCCGAAGACCCTGGAAGGTCCGGCTCGAGGAGACGCCAGGACCCGTGGAGTCCTTCCTGTCCTGGTCCGGTGCCGGATCCATGGGTCGAGTCGTCCAAGAAGCTAGAGTAGCCAGGGCTCTAAACACCGAAAATCCGGGGCTAGCATAGCGTGGACGGCGATGAGGTGGGAAACAGGGGGCGTTCGTTCGTTCGTTCGATGGCATTACCGGTGAATGCCTAGTCAGCCCTTAATATCGTAAGAGCTGGATCCACGCAAACAACCCCGGCGGACCTAACGCAGTCAACGGTTAAGCACTGGAAAGCCCCGACTTTAACGTTCGACCACCGCTGGCCCTATTATCGCTAACTAATAAGGGACCTAATTGAAACGCCGGCCTTTTGTTTCCAGTACTCGAGCGCCGCTGCTCGCTTTTCCAACCGCGCTTGTATACGCCGCTGTTTGACCAAGCAGACGAGGAGAAAGATAGACAGATTCAGTGAGAGGGTGAGAGAGATAGAAGGGGGTGAAGGGGGCAAT